TGGTGTTTCAGCAGATGTTACAGGTGTGCTGTGTTTCAGCAGATGTTACAGGTGTGTTGGTGTTTCAGCAGATGTTACAGGTGTGTTGGTGTTTCAGCAGATGTTACAGGTGTGCTGCGTTTCAGCAGATGTTACAGGTGTGCTGCGTTTCAGCAGATGTTACAGGTGTGCTCTCTTACGTGTTTGTAGCGCTCCACTTCAGCCTCCACCTCCTGCTTGGCTCGGTTCAGGGAGTCCAGCTGCTCCTGGAACTGGACCTGCTGCTCCCTCCAGGTCTCTGCCTCGGCCAGGGCTTGGGTTTCTGAGTCCTGGGAGGAGAGACGGGTGAAGACGCGTCTTTCTCTCAGGTGGGGTTCCTCACGGCGTGCACAGCCTCACCTGGATTTCTGCTCGCAGCGTGCCCACTTGATCCTGCAGCCTCTGGTTCTCCTCCCTCTGCAGCTCCTTCTCGTGGCGGAGCTCCTCCAGCTCCAGAGCCAGGGTCAGGCTGCCGTCTCCTGCGTCCAGACCGGAGCCCTCCTTCAGACTGCTGATCAGCTTCTCTTTGGACTTCAAGAACCAGAACAAACCTCAGAACGGAACCAGACCTGGTTTTAATGCAGTGGCCCCTGAGGGCCTCGTCCTTTGAGCTCATGTTTCTACAGATTCTTCTAATCTGTGGATCAGATTATATACTGGAGATTAAAGTCTTTATTCAGGACCTTTATTCTGAAAGAGTTCCTCTAGTTTTAGACAGAACCCGTGTCGTCTTTACTTCAGACAGTTTTTGCTCCAGCTGTTGTTTCCCTGAACATTTTAAAACGTGCTGCTGTCGTTCAACTCAAACTTTTAGTTATTCAGTTTAAACCTTTCATGTGTTTATATATAAATGTGTGTGTGTGTGTGTGTGTGTGTCAGAGCTGGGCTTGTTTTTCTCTCATGTCATTTGCAAAGACATTAAAGCGGAGTTGAATCTACTGAAATGTTTGAAGACAACTGAAGAAGTCTTCTGGATGAAAGACGAAACACTTCAACAAAAAGAAAAGTCCAGAGGTCCTGCCTGAACTCCACAGTTCTGTCCAGGAAGCCTCACCTGTAAGATGCGTGAGGCTTTGTGCTTGTAGTCCTGCAGCTCCTGCTTGGCCCAGTCAGCTGCAGCTTTGGCGCCTTTCAGCTGCTGCTGGAAGTCTTCGGCTCGGGCCTTCTCGTCCAAAGCTCGTCGCTCGGCTGCGGTCAGCGTCTCTGCGAGGGTCTGCCTCTCAGCTTCCAGTTTGGCCAGGCGGCCAGTGGACTCGCTCTGCTCAAGAACAGAACTTGATGAGTCCGACTGCAGCTGTTCAGCCGTGCACAGAGACTCGGTGACGCACCTGGATCTGCCGGTAGCCGTCCTGCTCCCGTCTCAGGGACAGCTCCGCCTCCCGCAGCCTCTCCTGGATCCTTTCCAGAGCCTGGTTCTGCATGCTGCTGCCTTCTGTGTGGTCCTGCATGATCCTAGAAGCAGAGCACACGGTATCTGACCCGAACCAAGACCCGTACAGAACTCTGAAGGTTCAGGATGAAGACAAATTGTGGGAAATGTAGTCGTGAAAATCCTTTGATCTCCATTATTTTCTGGATCATTGTGTCCCTGTTGTGTGACAAGCTGCTACCAAAGAGATGAACCAAAGACCCGCTCTAATAACATTAAAACAAACATTGAGCTGATTTTGATTTTAGAAGATCGTGACAAGCCAACCTTGATTTCTCCTTCTGCACCTCCTCTAACGCAGCCCTGCGGGACTCCAGAAGCTGATCGGCTTCATCAAGTCGGACTTTTAAAACTGCAAGCTGCCCGTCTTTGGCAGAGAGAGCTTCTGTCAGGTCATCCACGTGGGAGCGAAGTTCTTGTAAGGTGCGGGTCGTCTGAGCCTGCTCCGAGTTCCACCTGTCCGCACGCAACCGGGCCTGGTTGAGCTCTAAACACAGAAGGCTTTGGATCAGAACCGACGAGGACGTAAAGAAACGTCAGGCTGGGCTCCCTCGTACCGTCCTGCAAGTCTTTCGCTCTCTGAATGACCGAGGCCATCTCCTGGTTGAGGGACGCCACCTCGCTGCGCAGCAGCTGGTTCTCCAGGCGCAGGCTGGACACCATCTGGCTCTGAGGGGGGTCCGGCCGGCTGGACTCCTGAAGGGGGGCCGAGCCAGAGTCTGAACTCTCAGATGTGTCTGAGGGAACCAAAGATACATTTAGAAATGATCTGGACAGAAACGAAACATAAAGCAGCACACACGGGGGAGACGGCATCAGGTTCACCGAGCACGACGTGTACGTTTACATGATCTCTCCTCACGTGATCCAAACTAGCTGAACGTCACACGCTGAAGTCTGTCCCTTCAACATGAGCACGTAAGGTCAAAAACCTGAGTTAAAGACAAATGAAGCTTTATGATCCCTCACCGCTAAAAGACAGAGATGGGCAATAATGTACCTGCGTTACTGTCCGTCACATTTTAATGAAACTCAGAAACTCATTGGACCAACATGAAACAAGATGGCTGCCACAGCCAACTGACGTTCGAACAGACAAAGGCTGGAATTGTGTTAAGTTATGTGGTAGTAGCTGAGGATGATCCTCAACACAGACCCGACGGGCCACTTGTTGCATGAGATCAAGGATTAAATACTTGGATTAAACCCTTTTAGTCTGTTAGTAAAATATTTCCTGAACAGCTGTCTAAACAAGCCACCATAAAAATGGATTCACTTAGAATCAGTTTGATTCAAGATGGCTGCCACAGTTAATTGATATAAGCCAAAACAAAACTGGGCCGTCCACAGCACATGCTGCAAGCGTGATGGGTCCGAACAGATGAACCTCGTTTCAACACATGATCATGGTCTAAAAGGCGGAGGGTGATATGCATCGTTTCAGGGCCGGCCCCTCCCTGTCTGTGCGGTGGTGGTGGGTGATATGCATCGTTTCAGGGCCGGCCCCTCCCTGTCTGTACGGTGGTGGTGGGTGATATGCATCGTTTCAGGGCCGGCCCCTCCCTGTCTGTGCAGTGGCGGCGGGTGATATGCATCGTTTCAGGGCCGGCCCCTCCCTGTCTGTGCAGTGGCGGCGGGTGATATGCATCGTTTCAGGGCCGGCCCCTCCCTGTCTGTGCGGTGGTGGCGGCTGCAGCTCAAACCTGGACTTGGATCTTTAGAGTTCTCCTCTGACGTTTTGGTGCTGTGAACAGACAGTGAGCTCATGCTGGAGGCCCTGGACACCCCTCGGGTCGAAGGGGGTGTGGGCGGGGCCAATGGGACAGGAAGTGACGTGGAGGGAGGTGGAGGTGTCGGGGTTGGCGTCTCTGTGGTTGACGTCGTCTTGACAGGCTCTCTTCTTGAGTCCCTCCTGGAGCTGGCGGGAGGCTCGGAGCTGTTCAGGAAGTCAAAGAGCATGTCGTCGTCCACGTCCGGCTCGCTCTTCCTGGGCCTCACGAAGCCCGCCAAGTTCTTGGCCGAGTTTGGAGCGCTGGCGCCAGAAGCAGGAGGAGGACTGGGCGTGTTGGCCACGGACCTCTTGATGTTCCCTGCTGCTGTAGAGATGAAGCTGGAGGCTTCATGGGAGGACATGTAGGTATGATGTGGCCCAGAAGTCCCGGTCTCGAACGCTGTAGAACCGTACTCATCCCCCCCGTAGGCTGATGAAAGGGAGGCAGTTCTCGCCTGGTCCTTGCTCAGGGCTGTCGCAGCTCCTTGGTCCACTTTATTCAGGAAGTCTTCAGCTTTCCCAGCCAAGTCCGTAAACCAAGACATGTTGCACCCTGATGACACAAACATGAGAACACAGACGTGAGAACACAGAGACGTGAGAACACCGAGACGTGAGAACACCGAGACGTGAGAACACCGAGACGTGAGAACACCGAGACGTGAGAACACCGAGACGTGAGAACAGAGACGTGAGAACAGAGACGTGAGACTGCTCCGACGTCAGAACGCTCAGATGCACTTTTAAGATGATGACACTTCGAAGACGTGATAAAAATGTCAAACTTGTGTTTCAGACAGCAGAAAGACAAATGGACCTGGGCTTCACCTGACACACGTGTAAAAATTCAATGTTCCGCACAAAAGAACCCGTTCTTTTCTGAGAACAGAGGTGAACAAAACATTTACCGTCAGATAATTAAGATTAACTCAGACCTTTGTCTTTAGATGCAATACTTTCTTCACCATGACTGACCGAAGCAACACCCTCATTACTGAGGACAATCTGTCGATCCATCTCCTGCTCCATCACTCAGGCACAAGACGCCCAGATACCTGAACTCCTCCACCTGAGGCAATGACTCCCCCCAACCTGGAGGAGCCATTCCACCCGTTCCCAGTCGAACCATGAAGGAGTGACTCTCCCTCCAGCTGCAGTGGAGTCTGATCTGCAGAGAACAAGCTCCACTTTGATCCGAGGATGCAGCGCCTCGGTGAGCTCTGCCACAGAGATGAACCCGGCTCCACAAAGGGGCCATGGTCGACGGATTAAGGAAATCCTTGAAGTGCTCCTTCTACCGCCTGCCAGGATCCCCAGTCTGGGTCAGCAGCTCCACACCAGAACCAAGTAGTCTGGGACAGGGTCCGCTTTCAATTTTACAGCCAAATGGTTAGGCAGAACCTCCTGGAGGCCTGATGTAGGTCCTCCAGGTGTGTCTCCTGAATCTACAGCTGGTTAAACCGAATTGAAAAGTGCAGCTTCAGTCAGGGAAGAGATTTAAACCAGGCTGAGATATTTCAAGGACGTGTGCACTTCAAAACAACTACAACTACTACACTTTCTAAAAACACAACAAGGGAAGTCTTTAAATGGACTTAAAATAAATAAAAAAACAGTTTCTTTTCTTTAACAGCGGCTGCATGTTTAATATTGTATAAAAATATTAGGAACGAGTCTTAGAATCACAGTGACGTCACAACCAACACATTTAAAACATTTTTAAATAAGTTACTTGGAACAGGAGCACATATTTTCTCCTCCTCACTGAAACCCACAGGCCAACAAAGGAAGCCTTCAACAAACATGTCCAGACTCCTGTTAAAGCTGAATTTAAAAGCTTTCTTCACAACAAGATTCTTAGTTTTCCAGCTGATCACTTGTACCTCCATGTTGTTTAGTAGCTTTAGCTGACAGGTAAACAAAAAGTGATGGAACACCTTGCAGGACCCAGAGAGTCGATGAGTTCTGATCCAATCGTGTGATGTCCTTTAAATATTGGACTAACTCAGAGAATCTGCTTCAGACACAGATGATTGTTTCTATCAGAGATGTTAAATATACAAGGCGGTCCATTAACCAGTAGTTTGTGCTGGACCTGGAACTCCATCGACGCTAAGCTAACAGGCTAAGTGAGAGCTAAAGGAAACGTACCGTTTGAATAAAACCTCCTGAAGCTCGGACTCCCCGCTACAGCCGAGCTGTGTCGATTAAACCTGAAGGAGAAACTCTGCTCGGAACAATATCCTCCATATAAGACGCCATTATGTCTTCAACAAGAGATGCTCCGTACGTGGACCAGGAAGTGCTGTGCAGGACCCCACAGGGCGTCCTCACAACAGCCTGATCAAAAAAGGACTGAGTTTAGACCAGCACTCATCCCCTCCCCCAAATAAAATATCTATCTACAAGGCCAAAAATAAATAAAACCTTTGGATTTCTGCAGCGTGATTTAAAATTTATAGTTTTCAACAGCTTTTTCTCCCCTCCCTGGGCTGCCACCTTACCGTGGTGGAGGGGTTTGAGTGTCCCAATGATCCTAGGAGCTATGCTGTCAGGGGCTTTATGCCCCTAGTAGGGTCACCCATGGCAGACAGGTCCTAGGTGAGGGACCAGACAAAGTGCAGCCCAAACACACCCCTATGATGAAAAACACAAATGGACCTAGTGTTCCCTTGCCCGGACGTGGGTCACCGGGGCCCCACTCTGGAGCCAGGCCTGGAGGTGGGGCACGTGGGCGAGCGCCTGGTGGCCGGGCTTTTACCCATGGAGCTCGGCCGGGCACAGCCCGAAGAGGAGACGTGGGTCCCCCTTCCCATGGGCTCACCACCTGTGGGAGGGGCCAAAGGGGTCGGGTGCAATGTGGGATGGGTGGTGGCCGAGGGCGGGGACCCTGGCGGTCTGATCCTCGGCTACAGAAGCTGGCTATTGGGACGTGGAATGTCACCTCACTGGTGGGGAAGGAGCCTGAGCTGGTGTGTGAGGCTGAGAGGTTCCGGCTAGAAATAGTCGGACTCACCTCTACGCATGGCTCGGGCTCTGGAACCAGTTTCCTTGAGAGGGGCTGGACACTCTTCCACTCTGGAGTTGCCCCTGGTGAGAGGCGCCGAGCAGGCGTGGGCGTACTAATTGCCCCCCAACTTGGTGCCTGTGTATTGGGGTTCACCCCCGTGAATGAGAGGGTGGCCTCTCTCCGCCTACGTGTGGGGGGACGGGTTCTGACTGTCGTTTGTGCTTATGCACCAAACGGCAGTTCAGATTATCCACCCTTTCTGGAGTCCTTAGAGGGGGTACTGGAAAGTGCACCTTCTGGGGACTCCCTTGTTCTGCTGGGGGACTTCAATGCTCATGTGGGCAATGACAGTGAGACCTGGAGGGGTGTGGTTGGGAGGAATGGCCCCCCTGATCTGAACCAGAGTGGTGTTCTGTTGTTGGACTTCTGTGCTCGTCATGGATTGTCAATAACGAACACCTTGTTCAGGCATAAGGGTGTCCATATGTGCTCTTGGCACCAGGACACCCTAGGCCGCAGTTCGATGATCGACTTTGTCATCGTCTCATCTGATCTGCGGCCACATGTCTTGGACACTCGGGTGAAGAGAGGGGCGGAGCTGTCAACTGATCACTACCTGGTGGTGAGTTGGCTCCGATGGTGGGGGAGGATGCCGGTCAGACCTGGTAGGCCCAAACGTATTGTGAGGGTTTGCTGGGAACGTCTGGCAGAGTCTCCTGTGAGACGGAGTTTCAACTCCCACCTCCGGGAGAACTTTGAACATGTTCCAAGGGAGGTGGGGGACATTGAGTCTGAGTGGACCATGTTTCGTGCCTCTATTGTCGAGGCGGCTTACCAGAGCTGCGGCCGCAAGGTTGTCGGTGCCTGTCGGGGCGGCAACCCTCGAACCCGATGGTGGACACCGTCGGTGAGGGATGCTGTCAGGCTGAAGAAGGAGTCCTATCGGGCCTTTTTGGCCTGTGGGACCCTGGAAGCAGCTGATGGGTACCGGCAGTCCAAGCGACATGCGGCTCGGGTGGTTGCTGAGGCAAAAACTCGGGCATGGGAGGAGTTCGGAGAGGCCATGGAGAACGACTTCCGCACAGCTTCGAGACGTTTCTGGTCCACCATCCGGCGTCTCAGGGGGGGGAAGCGGTATGCCACCAACACTGTTTATAGTGGGGGTGGTTTGCTGCTGACCTCAACTCGGGATGTTGTGGGTCGGTGGGCGGAATACTTTGAAGACCTCCTCAATCCCACCGGCACGTCTTCCACTGAGGAAGCGGAGCCTGGGGACTCTGGGTCGGGCCCTCCAATCTCTGGTGCTGAGGTCACCGAGGTGGTTAAAAAGCTCCTTGGTGGCAGGGCCCCGGGGGTGGATGAGATCCGCCCAGAGTTCCTTAAGGCTCTGGATGTTGTAGGGTTGTGTTGGCTTACGCGACTCTGCAATGTTGCGTGGACATCGGGGGAAGTTCCCCTGGATTGGCAGACCGGGGTGGTGGTCCCCCTATTCAAAAAGGGGGACCGTAGAGTGTGTTCCAACTACAGGGGAATCACGCTCTTAAGCCTCCCTGGTAAGGTCTATTCGGGGGTTCTGGAGAGGAGGGTCCGTCGGATAGTCGAACCTCGGATTCAGGAGGAACAGTGCGGTTTTCGTCCTGGCCGTGGAACACTGGACCAGCTCTACACTCTCAGCAGGGTCCTGGAGGGTGCGTGGGAGTTTGCCCAACCAGTCTACATGTGCTTTGTGGACTTGGAGAAGGCTTTCGACCGCGTCCCTCGGGGGGCCCTGTGGGGGGTACTCTGGGAGTATGGGGTACCAGGCCCTTTGATACGGGCTGTTAGGTCCCTGTATGACCGGTGTCAGAGCCTGGTCCGCATCGCCGGCAGTAAGTCGGGCTTGTTCCCGGTGAGAGTTGGACTCCGCCAAGGTTGCCCTTTGTCACCGATTCTATTCATAACTTTTATGGACAGAATTTCTAGGCGCAGCCAAGGTGTTGAGGGGATCCGTTTTGGTGGCCTCAGAATTGCATCTCTGCTTTTTGCAGATGATGTGGTCTTATTGGCTTCATCAGATCGTGATCTACAGCTTTCGCTGGAGCGGTTCGCAGCCGAATGCGATGCGGCCGGGATGAAGATCAGTTCCTCCAAATCCGAGGCCATGGTCTTGAGCCGGAAAAGGGTAGAGTGCCCTCTCTGGGTCAGGGAGGAGGTCCTACCCCAAGTGGAGGAGTTCAAGTATCTTGGGGTCTTGTTCACGAATGAGGGAAAAATGGAGCGTGAGATCGATAGGCGGATAGGTGCAGCGTCTGCAGTGAAGCGGGCGCTGTACAGGTCTGTCGTGGTGAAGAGAGAGCTGAGTCAAAAGGCGAAGCTCTCAATTTACCGATCGATCTACGTTCCCACCCTCATCTATGGTCACGAGCTTTGGGTTGTGACCGAAAGAATGAGATCTCGGATACAAGCGGCCGAAATGAGTTTTCTCCGCAGGGTGTCTGGGCTCTCCCTTAGAGACAGGGTGAGAAGCTCGATCATCCGGGAGGGACTCGGAGTAGAGCCGCTGCTTCTCCACATCGAGAGGAGCCAGTTGAGGTGGCTTGGGCATCTGTTTAGGATGCCTTCTGGACGCCTCCCTGGTGAGGTGTTCCGGACACGTCCCACCGGAAGGAGGCCCAGGGGAAGACCCAGGACACGCTGGAGGGACTACGTTTCTCGGCTGGCCTGGGAACGCCTCGGGATTCCCCCGGAAGAGCTGGCCCAAGTGGCTGGGGAGAGGGAAGTCTGGGCCTCCCTACTTAGGCTGCTACCCCCGCGACCCGACCCCGGATAAGCGGAAGAAAATGGATGGATGGATGGATGGAACAGCTTTTTCTTATTGCTCCAAAAAAAGTTCAATCTGGTCCTCTGGACATTCAAAAAACAACTTTGTTTTTTGAATGTCCAGAGGACCAGATTGAACTTTTTTTGATTTTTCTACCTGGATTATTGAGCATGTATCAGGATATTTTTCTTACTGCCTTTTTATCTGTTAATAACTTTCCTAATGAGCATTAAACTTTCTAAACTCACGAGAATAGTGATCAGTCAGATGTTTTTAATCTGCATCTCCAGGCAGAAACATGTTTTGAAGGCATTTTACTTGTGCAGGACGCGTAGTGTCATATTTTCACACAACCTGACACAGACGTTATGAAACAGTGCCTCTTTATTTATTCTGCACTCACTTGAAAATGCATATTTACAAGACATGCCACATCAATACAGGACCTGACCATGGACACACCCGTTAACACGTCTTCATGAATCTGCTCTGGGCTCTCCCGGCCATTAAAAACAAACAGGATGACAAAAGAAGCATCACTTTTATAACCTGGCCCAAAGAAATTTCCTAAATCAAACAATTTCAAAGACGTAAACAGTCAAAGTGTCCAGCTGCCGCGCGCTAAACGTTTTATCAGCTTAATGGAGGGCTGTGTTTCATCACGTGATCATCTTAAAAATAAAAAAAACCACACAATCTGCTCACGTTTAGGATGGATTATAAGGATTTTATATAGAAGTAAAATGTTTACATTAATTTATTGTCTTTAAGGACAAGCATGTCCACTGCAGCAGACGTCCACGTTGTTTTCAAGACACCTGAACTGTCTTCTAGTGTCCTGTCCGAGAAAAGAACGCACGAGAGCTGCGTCCTGCTGGGAAAACTAAAGAGAACGTCGACTCTGGATGAAAGGGAGAAGGATCAAATAAAATATAAACCCTTGGTACAACGGCTTGTTGATCATGAAAATACAACCCAAACATAGATATCTGGACAGATTCCTCCGAGAGCAATCCTTTGAGAAAAAAGTTCTTTGTCCAAATCTTATTTTCTCTGTTTAGACGAAGAATCTGTTGCATTTCAAACTTCCTCAGGGAGTCGCACACTGTCACTTTGTCCCAGCACAACCAATTACACATGCAGTGTGATTTCAGAGGAGCGGGGCTTGTCAGAACAGGCCCCACCCCTTCCTCAGATCAGACCCCTCCTCTTCTTGTAGTCCTCCAGGTTGAGGGACCTGCGGGGAGCGCCGTCCTTCACTGGCAAAGCGTTGGAGCTCACAGACAGACTCTTTGCTTCTGCAGGAAAATGAGCAACGTTAGTATTGATGTTATCAGGAACAGGAAACGAGCTCTGACTGAGTATCAGAAACAGGAAATGAGTTCTGATTCAGTATCAGGAACAGGAAATGAGCTCTGATTGAGTATCAGAAACAGGAAACGAGTTCCGACTGAGTATCAGGAACAGGAAACGAGCTC